TTGTAGTCACTGCCGGGTATCTATAGACATTTTTACTTTCCATTGGTGCCCATCCTTTTTACACTACGCCCGCTACGATTATTATTTCCTTATTGGCCACCTGTGTTACATTTCTTTACATTTCTTCCCTTTCACACTCCGAGCCCCAAATACCTTTAATAACATTCCTTCGCCACCTTATTATAGCCATTTTATTTATTACAAGACTACATACCTACACTCACTCGTTTCTCTTTTTATTTATTACAACCATATTCCCCTTTCCTCTTGCTTTCTTTTTGTTTATTACAAATAGTAGAATAATAGGTTGAGAATGTATTCTTTTAAGATTAATTGACTAACCAATAAGAAACATTTTTCAATTAAAATCTAAAATATCAATCTTCCCCCTCAAAACTGGGCAATTTCTGGCTCATTCGTTTCCTTTTTTTTTTTTTTAAATTTGGTCATGAAGCGTTTCTGCACCAGTCTGTTTCGCAATTGTGCTCTTTCGGACTTAGAAACTTTTTTACACTTGGTGTTTTTTATCTAACTCTCTCATAAGTAATATGATTTAAATAATAACTTAACTTTTTAGCTTCCATGCGCACCCCACTGTGCTGGGTTTTTTTTTATCCTTTTATTTTTAGTTTTAAATATTTATAAATTATTAAGACAATTATTTTTTTTTATTTTGTATTTTGTGAGTTGTACCATTTAAGAATTTTTTTTAATTCTTTAATTGGATTGTCTATTTAATTATTTAATAAGTGCATTTAGAAAATCTACCTAAGCACATCAAGTGGTTAAAACTGTATGTAAAACAATAGTTTATGTCGAGTCACTAAGGAGATCGTAGAGTGTATCTTAAATTTAGATAGATAAGTGTTTGATTCATTGCAAAAGATACTGATGGTTTGTTGAAATCATTACCCTAGAACATCAAGCGGTTAAGACTATTCGTAAAACAATAGTTTATGTCGAGTCACTAGGGATTGATTCTCATATTCTGTCACGTTCTTTTCGGCAAGCAGTTTTAGACTCCGTAAGGTCCGTGCATTAACGAGTATATTCTCCGATGATGTAGCCAGATTGTCTCTAACTCTGTCGACTCTCATATCAAATACACAATTTTATAAAATATTGATAGTTAATTGAAGTCATTACTCTATAAATTTATAAATTTTTATTTTGAAGTATAAAATAATATATATATTCAGATACCAAGTATAGAAAGGAAGCTAAGTGATATAATATTTAAAGCTTAACAATTTTATTATAAGATTATAAAATAAATAAGTAGATTAAAGTCTCTTATTATATTTTTTTTGTACAACAAACGTTCAAGCTTAGCTGGACACAAGGTAAGAAATTATACTTCTAAGCATGTCATAAAAAATTAAAGATAGATTTAAAATAAGTTATGAATAATTTTTATCGTGGGAATAATAGAATTAACTTCTAAACGTATATAATTTAATAAAAATTATTGTTAACAACTATTTCATCATCGCCATTGTATGTGTAAATGTTTTACTTACATTTATCATTCATATAAAAAATAATTCAGCTATTAAAGCTTGGCGCCCAACAATCGGACAGTTGCATTTTACGCAAACACACATCGTTTCCTACATATACTACAATCGATAAAAATATCAAGAGTCATAAAATCCTCTCCCAGGACAACTGCACATTTCATAGTAGAATATTATTCGAGTTAGTGTCATCCGTGTGTAATTTTCCTTCACTTTACATTTTACGACAAACCATATGCAGTCGTTTCATTTTAACAAAAAGATTCATGATCATACACCGTATATTTTTATTTTTACCTTGTATCTAAACAAATTTAACTAACTCATTGATTTTATCTTATCTCCATACCCTATTACTCTTATTCATGATAAACCATCGCCAATTATATATTTAACATTAGCTAATACTACTACTTTTTATTATGACAATTTTATTCCTTTTCTTTTAACACTTGCAACTACTGTTTTTTTATGATATTTGTATTATTTTTATTATTGTTGTGATAGTATAGCACTATTACACAGGATTTTATGTGGGAATGAAATTACTGCGATAGTAATTGTAGTCTTTATGATCGTAGAGGTCACAATTAATAATACAAATTGTTTTATGGGACTTGGTTGTTAAATGCTATATCAATGTGCAATGATATGGACAGTGTTAACACTGTGTCAAAATTTTAACCCAGAAACAACAATGGGATGTTGCGACAATACACGGAACATCCCGGATTGCGATCCATAATTGTATAAAAAACACCCCGGGGACTGTATTTGCTCCGCAATGATGTCTTTTATGAAACTGCTCTTTAACATCTCCTAGTTACATCTATACCACAGCTTTGTTTAACCATTACGGGCATTTAAATTAAAATATATCGCTGTTTCAAAGTCATTTCATTTGTAACATTCTTGTGATATTTATAACTATTGTACATACATTTGCATTTTTTTACGATAGATTAAAAAAATGTATGGCATTTAATTTATGTTTTTACTCACACAAACCCATAATAAATTAAATAATCAATGCACGTGAAATATTGAATAAAAATTATAGCAAGTTATAATATTTATTCAAAGAACAAACGTCTTAATAGTAAATATTAGTATATAACATAAAATAATGTTAAATTAGTTTATAAAATATTACAAAACATAAAAATGGATATATAAATATAAAATACTGTCCAATACAAATATTTTACAACATGAAAAAATAATATTTGATAATTTATTATCATCAACATATATAATAATTTACTTATATCATTATATATTATAGTTTTAAAATTAAAAAAAAAAATCAAACTTCGTTGGCATAACTTTGACACAACTATCAGTCTATTTGACATTCTAACAAAAAATCATTTGTATCTAGTACATGATGAACTAATGCTAAATAAATCTGATATTTGAGTAGTTTTAACGACAAATATACCTACTGTAGTAGAAGATATGAGTTTATTACTTAATTAAGTACAATTAAGATATTTTAAAAACAAGTAATTTAACAGGTTTATTATAAGTTTAATTATACGGTGAATAGATACAACAGAATTATATTTAATCTTAATGTTGTAGTATAAATATTAACACATGTAGTAAATATCACATATATATGAATAAAGCAAAAATCATCTTAGGAATGTTTCCCTTTTAGGGTAAACAATATAAACATTTATTAACATATTTTTCAAACCAATCCCCTACAATTCATTAACTACGCCCACGTCAGGGTTTCTATTACAATTAACCAATCTCAAATAATTATCCAACAACTCAGGAATTTCAATATAGATCGCTGGCTTACTTCATCCGGCATATAAAAAGCCATTTTTTCTCGTAAAATGGGACTCTCTCATCTCTCTCTCTGGCGGCGCTGGCAGCTCATGGTCAATAATCTCTGCGTCAGTATAAGTAAATATTTTGTCCGTACGACTTAATATTTTTTCATATCATCCTAAATGGTGAACATTGTTTTAGATGATTTATCAATATTTTACCTAGAAATAAGTTTTAGTTATTTTTACTATTACCTAATATCCTTATAAAAAATAAATATAGTTTGTATTTTGTGTAAGTTTTAAATATTATTGTGCCCCTTCATTTCTGGAAAGCCTTCAATGTGCCAAAAAGAGTGTAGAAGCGTAATTTGTGATTAGAATTAATTAGTCTTAGTATTAGTACTTTATGTCTGTGTACCCACCAGCCATAAGGTGCTATGCCACTACAAACTATGCCAAATTACCTCTCGGTTAAGTGCAGATAGTTGAGGTAAAAAGTAGTATTAAATTTATTAAGAATATTTTTGAAGTGCGCTATATCCATAGACAGGCCAGTTTTACAGCTAGTAGTCCGGATATAGCTCATTATAAAATATACAGGGTGTTCAGTAAGTTAGGAAACAGTTAAATTATTACAAACAATAAGTACAATAGAAATTCGTTTCCTTATTTACTGAACACTCTGTATAGTTTGTAAGATAGGAAACTACATCTTGGAAGTATCCTCTGCGTGTTTGCCCGCCGGCCATAAAGGACTATACCAATTACCCCTCGATAACGTGTAGGCAGTTGGTGTAAAAGATAGTAAAAGGTGTATTGAAATAATATTAACGAGGTTAACTGTATCCGCGCCAGCCAAGGTTTTGCGCTGGGCCACCACAGTCTTGTAAATTATATTTTGAATATAGATAGACATATTCTTATAATTATTAATATATTAATTAATTAAAAAAAATTTATATAAAAAAAGGCAAAAAATCATAATAGACGCAGGTTCCTTGTAGAGAATTTTTTTGTAAATTTTATATATACACAGAGAAACTAATTAATCGAAATAAACGCAAGATACTATAAACGATTGTTAACACTGAAGGAAGAAATCACCATAAGACTAACTCAGTCAACTACGAAAGGAAATAAAGGTAAGTGCGAATATTTATTTGCATGCATTACTTCTTAAAAATTCACGTAATAAACAAGAATAAGAATAAGTGAGGTAGGGTTATTTTATTATTTGATAAATAAATATAGTTCTTTAAGTAAATTAGATGCTAGTTCATTATGAACATTACATGTTTCAACATTAATTAGAATTCTGATTACATTCACTAACAGTAAAAAATGGGAGTAAAATATTTTTTTCAAATTATTTTTTTAAACTATTTGACCTGAATACAATAAAAATATTTTAAGTTCTGATGCTTTATATAATTCTATATCATCAAGTAATCTTAGAAGTATACAGAACTAATCAGTTATAAAAGATGAAAATATTTTTTATTTCATAATTAATTTTTTATATTTATTCTTTTTCCAATCGCACTTCTTTATTACCTTTTAAATATATTTTTCAGCATTATCTGTCTTTAAAAAAAGAAATTAGCATATATTTTATTTCTTAATATATATATATATATATATATATATATATATATATATATATACCACCAGTTATATCTATAATTTCATGATATTTTGGAGTTTTAAATAAAGTCTTATATTTTTGGAAACAACAAATCACTTTCACTTTGTAAAATTTGAAGCAAGTAATTACAAAAGTTATGTGAAACTTTTTATTTTACAAATAATGACCTTAATTTATCACTTAAATTCAAGGGAGTAATTAGTAGGGGTAAATATTGAGGGTCTATTACTTGCATAACATTAGATGTATCAACACACAAGTTAGAAGGATTAAATTAAGTGGTTTATAAAAAATATTATGACATTCAGCATGAGTAATTTCTTTAACAGAATTATGTGTAGGTGGTGTATCATTATTAACACTACTCATTACATTCAAATTACTTAAAGATAATGTTTCTGTGGGGACACACTTTTCTTGTTCTAGTTTAATTAATTTTTTAAAGTACTTTATAGAAATATCGGATACTTTTTTGTTCTAAGATTCCGAAAAATAAAACAAAATAGTTATGTTTTATTAAATGTAAAAATCCAAGTTTTTTGATAAGATTAATTTCGCAACAAATTATATTTTTACATTCATTTACAACAACGATTGATATTAACGATTAAGATATGAAACGACTTATTTTTAATTGTTAGTTGTTAATTCATTTTTTCCCTTAGAATATTTAGAAGATTTTATTTTGAATTAATCAATTCTGGTCTTTATATTTTTCCATCATACTAAATGTAAGTTTGAAATAAACACTTCAGCATTTATCTAAAAAAATTACCCCACTTCCCTTTAAAATGCTTATTTTTAAAATATTTAATACCACAAAGAACATAAAACTAAATAATATATCATAAATCAGGGGGATTTATCAGGAGATACCAAAAGTATGAAATTCAATAAGATATATATTACTTTAGATCTTTCTTCAGTGAATGTAAGCATAGTACTGGGTTAGCATAGTTTTCCATAACTAATGTCAGAAGAAGTACAGGAGGCTAACATACTAGGTAAATTTAGTTCTCTATATGAAAATTCAGCAAAAGATTCTGTAGAATTTGTTTGGGTTATATCTCTGATGGTTTGTATAGATAAACATCGAACAATTGATTTATATAAAAGATTGAAAAAATAATATACCTTAATATTTTAAATAAAGTATTATTACTAACTACTAGAATCGCTATCATCTCTTGTTGATACAGTTTTAACTAGTCATTATCTACATCTGTGCATGAATAGGAATAATAAACCTTCTGATGCCATGCTTTAGAAAAGTTTGGTAAAATAATACATATTAAAAAATTTCATGACTTAATTTCTTAGTTATAAAACTATAATACTTCATTAATTTAAATAAAAATTTATTACAATAAGTTTTTCCAGCAATAATTTTTATTTTGTAAACATCCCATTCTTCAACTGGATCATTAGCTTCTTCTATCATTGTACTGTAAACATAATAAAATTATTATAGGGGGGTCACTGGCAGTATACAGTTTTATGATCTAAATGTTTAGATATAATCCAATTTAAGGGTATGACGCTAGATGTTTTTGTATTGATAAAGATTGCTACCACCTAATTTTTCTGAAAAAAAAAAATTATCAGAAAGAATCAGAACTTGGCTTAGTAAAAAAAAAAAATTACAGAATGTTTTTAAGCTACACTACTCCATATAAAAGTCTATTGAGGTGTCTTTAAAATAAATATCACTTCCAATGTCACCATTAAGTTTTTTTTTCTATCAAAAAAATTTGTTTAAAAAATTTCACAACATTAATTAAAAATATTTAATAATCAAAGTAACTATTAACCCTTTGAGTAACACATTTATTTATTATTTTGAAGATTTTCATAAGATACTACACTTACCAATCGCAGTAAAAATATTAAAAAATTATTTCAATATAATTCTTCTAAGGATAGACTAAAATAATGATGGCAAATGTTCAATGTTCTAATGTATGACGCAATTCAAAACAAAATTTTCAGCCGTGCCACTAGAAATTTTTTTATTAAAACAGTAAATTTTTACTGTAAAATTTACTTGTAAATTCAGTCTTATTATCATACATGAGCACAAACCACATCGACGATTTTTATCTCCATATCTAATAAAGCCATATTCAGTTGTCCATGATGGTAAAAAATTTCGAACACCGTGTAGTTTTTGTTTTTTTGTATGTGACATTTTTAATATAACTAAAATACACTAATAACGTAAAACTCGCACGCTGTCGTATTCCTTCAATACACGAACGAAAACTGATTATATAATTCTTATTTATCCACATACTTCTAGTAATCTTAAATCTAAAGTCCCACTACATTAGACCATATAAATTATATTTTAAAATAATAAAGATAAGATAACATTACGTCGTTGTGAAATATAGATTATTAATATGTGCCATTGATAATTAATTTATTGAATGTTATCTACTTAAAAATCTATAAATATGTATGGACAAATGAAAGTTTTTCGAGTGCCATCGAAAATTTCATACGTGCCAAACTTGGGACGCGTGCCACTTATTTGCCATCCCTGAACTAAAACATGGCCAGGGGCCGCAGTTATTCTGTATAATAACTTCCAAAGTATATGTTATTGCTGACTGGTGCGCCTTGTCCGACTTTCAGTTTGGAACTACCTGTATATTGTTAATACAATAATAACTACCGTCGCATAAGCCTTTCCCCGTCCACTGCGGCGAGTTCGCCTCGCTGTCACATGACCGTCCGATTCCACTAAATATAAATTTGGAGCTACCCGTATATTATCAACAAAGTAGAGTATACATTTTTTTTTTTTTTTCAATCCGAAGATTGGTTTTTAACAAATGTTTTACAATAAATGGCTTCTCCATTTTTCTCTATCATTCGCCATAATCTTAAGCTCCCTGTAGGAAGTGACTCCTGCATCCTGCATTATTTGGCTAATGTACCTCGTTCTAGGTCTTCCTCTTGATCTTGTACCCTCTATCATTCCTTCAATTATTAAACTATGCAATTCATCTCCATGCCTCAACGTGTGTCCTATCATCTGCCATCTCCTTCTCTTTATAATGTCAATCAGTGTTCGTTTTTCATCTATTGTCCTCAGGATGTCTTAATTTGATCTTTTATCAGTCCAGCTTATTCTCTGCATCTTTCTCCAACACCACATCTCCAGAGATTCTAATATATCTTTTTCTTTCTTATTAATTGTCCAGGTTTCACTTCCGTATAATGCCACACTCCAGACGTATGTTTTTATGAGCCGTTTCTTCGTTACTATGTTCATATTTTTTGATGTTAGTACTTTTCTCTTTTTAAGGAATGTATTCTTTGCTTGACCTATCCTGCTCCTGATTTCCTTGGTTGATTTCCCGTCGTCTGTTATAATGCTGCCTAAGTAATTGAAATAGTCTACTTGGATAATTTTTTTGTTTTCTAATGTTATATTTATATGTGGTATGTCTTTCTTGTAGCATACTACAAGTCTTACTGGTCTTGGCTGCGTTTATTTTCAGACTATATTCTTTGAACGTAGTATTCATTGCATTTAACGCTGTTTGTGAGTCTTCTTCAGATGTTGCAAGAACGACTATATCATCAGCGAAGCGAAGCATTGTTATTAGTACCCCTCCTATTTTCACTCCAATTCCTTTTTGTATTAACCAAAGCTTTATGACTTTTATTGCTTTTTCAATAGTGTACATGTATTGGCACCTAAAGAACATTACCTAGGTTATAAATAGTTTATTTATTCAGTTACACAAGTTAAATTTTTCTTACTAGAATTTATAAGTCAACAATTTTATATAATAAAATACGATAGATATATTATAATAACTACCGATTTATATGCTATTGCCCCTCCGCTGCGGCGTATTCACGTTGACATCACGTGGTNCTAGAATTTATAAGTCAACAATTTTATATAATAAAATACGATAGATATATTATAATAACTACCGATTTATATGCTATTGCCCTTCGCTGAGGCGTATTCGCGTTGCCATCGCATGATAACAACTGTCCGACCACCAGAAATATGTTATGCGCTCAAATAACATAAAGTGTAATTTACACGTATTTATTCAAATATATATTTAAGCGTTTAGTCTCACCTACAAATAAATGTAGTCAATTAAAAATACTAATGAATTTTCTCACCTGATATATTACTTTAACAATTAAAAAAAAACTTTTTTATACTTTTTTTAATTCGTATTTTATTGAGAAACAATTTGTTATAATTAAGTTCTACTACGTTAATTCATGTCCACAGCTGAAACGATGTTGTTAAAAATTATTATATATTTAATTTACACATATTTTAGTTAAATTAATTTTATTAAAATACTCTAAGCTTGTGTGTCAATATGTGTCTTTGTTATGAGCATTTTATGAATACCAAAAATTGAACTGCTTACTAGCTTAAATAACGGATAAAGTGCTTTTTTACAAATTACTGGCATAATATATTCTAAAAAATGCAATTAGGGCATAAAAAATATTGAGTTACGTGGATACCATTCCTCTTCCTCATTAATAATATAGCGCTTAGGCGAGAAATGTGCTTTTAATATTTCTACGATCTCACTACGACCTTTTTCAAAAAAAAAATGAAAAATATACGTACTTTTGACGTTTAAATCTAAATTATATTTATGAACAGTTTGAACGCCATTGATATCATGTTCGCAAGAAATAAAATCAAAATATGTTAAAGGTCGTTTCAAAGCTGTGTATTTACCCATGTCCAACTCTAAATCATATTAATTAATTAATTTAAAGATATTTATGTATGGGGCAGTTTTTTTAATGATTACGATATAAATGAAGTTGTTCCAACAGTTTGTGCTGACTATACGTTTTCAAACGGTAATGCTATTTTTAGCTAGCCGTTTATTAAACACAAAAACAAAGTAAGATTACATATGGCACAAAAATATAACATTAAAATAGTGAAACAATATTTTAAGTACATTATTAGTACTTACAATATTGTTTTATTATATAAAATGTTTTATTAATAAATAGTTTTTACACGTTATTTTGCACCCCTAGGATTTGTCTGCGGTGAGTATCGAATAAAAAAAAATTGAAATCTCTTTAAAATCATTTTTAAGAACAAAAAATTGTTATTGTGTCATAAAAATTAATCGCTACATTTAATTAATTTTGATAAATTAAATAAGTCTTTTGCTTCAATTTGAAACTAAGAAAGTATTTGTTTTGGGATCAAGTATGTTTTTTTAATTCCTGTCCATGAAAATTTTCTGCTCTCGATTTACCGTTTTTAATGATTAATTCGACAAAAGAATCCGAGTTCAATTTAATTGTACCCATCGTTACCGCAAATTCGAAAAAACCCTCTCAATTTTAGTAATTTCGAAAAATATCTTAAATTTGAATATCGTAAAAATGATATTTATTTAGTTCAATTATGTTTTCGCATTTTAATATTTCTATAACTTTATTTTAAGACTTTGTGCTATTGCAGTAAGTTATTCTAATAACAAAACATTTTTTTCAAACATGTTTTTTATGAAAATTAAACTAATTAAGACAATAAGATTTTGATATAGACTACCCACGCATGTAAAAAAATTTTTTCAACTCCATATTTGAAAATGTTCCAGAAGTCTGCCTTATTTAGACCTATATTAAATTTAAATTCTTATAGTGTACTACAATATTAAAAGAAAAAAAAATCTTATGATTTCTCGAAAACACATAAATTTAAAAACTATTGTGATATTTATAAGATTCACATCGAAACGTTTTTTATGATAGTTATGATAATCAATGTCATATTATAAAGTGATATCTAGTTCAAATATAAATTTTTATACTTGTTTTAAGTATTCCGCAATCCTATTGTGCTGGTTTTGAAAAATTGTATTGATTTATTTATATTTTATTACTATGAGTTTTAGTATTGCTTGATAAATTTACTAATGAGTGTATTTTTTTCAATTTTCTATTAGTAAAAAAGTCACTTTCGCCGATAGTTTTACGAAAACAACATATTATTTTAGTGGATTTTTTTTAGTAATTTTTCTTTAATCACACAGATAAACCTATATTTTGACTCACTTGTTGATATGAAATAGTAGTGCTTAAAAACTGAAGAAAGCGTTCTGCAGTTCAAAACAAGAATTATTTGACATTACGATACCATAGTTAAATAAAACTCAATAAAAATGATTATCATTAAATAATAATATATTCTTCATGAGCGCCATTACCCTGCAACGGTCTTTTCCGCTTGTGTCCTAACAGTTGGCTATGCTGTATTATTTGTATTGTATTATATATGTATCCGTATACTGTCGAGATAATAAAAGCGCAAATTTATGACTAAGATCTAATATAAACATAAGTCTAATTAATCGAAAAACTCGACATCCAACAAACGATTGTCATCACTTATCTGAGAAGTTAATACAAAACCAATCTAAACAACAGCGAAAGGTAAGTGCGAATATTCATTTGTATAGTTTACTCCTTAATACTTTACGTATTCAAAAATAATAGAAAGGGCGAAATAGGGATAACTTTATTGAGTGTTTAAATTATTTAGGCTAGACTTTACATTTCAAACGCCGATTCTTCCTTATATAATAATAATCCTCCCCCACACCTCAAATCATTTAATTATTGTTTTTATAATTTCTAAATTATAGAAATTAAATGTTTTGAAATGTACTACAATATTAAAGTTTTATTTCTTTTCCTTGTCTTAATCCCAACTACTTGGGGTCGGGCAACTTCATGCATACAAAAAATGGCGACTAAAAATCATAGAACTACATATAACCAATAATAAAATTATCTATATTATTTTAACTTTCCGATTAATTAAGTGGGTAATTATGTGTATATCAGTGTTGTCAAAAAACTTGTTTTTAATACTCAAGCAAAAATTTAAAATTTCTCATAAGACCAATATAAATGTTGATATTTTTTATGTTTTTAACATTTCGTGTTTAAAATGTAACGACTCTGATGTATACAGAGTGTGTTAGATGTACCTGACAACATTTATAAACTACTGGCTGACCCATTTACCCAAGGTGTCCATTTTCCTCCGTATTTCCCTAGTTGAACATAATTTTTTTAACACATTTTTTTAACATAATTTAAACCCGAACAATCCAACATGTGTATTGACACGACTTACGTCGCAAAAATGTGGTCGACACTGGTTTTGAGGGTAGAGACCGTGGGCTGTTTATTAAATAGAACGTGGGCCGTTTATTAAATGAGCGACAACAGATTATTTTAACAAAAATAAAACAAACCGAAAAAATAAACACAGTAATAATAACCTTCGCATAATAATATCGCGGCACTTTCGCTGGCGTCGATGACGCGATGTCCGGCGTAATCTTTGGGCGACAACAGATTAGCAGCGTTGTAGGCGACGGTGCGCGGGTGCGGATCGGTTGGTCGACATTGTCGCTTTTACAACGGGAGGAGGAGTCTCGCTCCATTTGCGGCGGATCGTCGTCAGCCGTGCGGCATTTGCTGGACTTTGCACCGTAGCGTATAACACGCAGTGTCGGTCAGTCAAATACTCATAGTAGGGCGACTGCTGATAAAGGTGGCACGAGTCGCGGGGCATCGTGTATAACGAAGCGACGCGGGCCGTGTCAAATACCCCCCCGCCAAGCCGCTGGTCTACTTAATGACGGCCGGGAAGAAACCGCGTATCGCAGTGAAGGCCGCAAACTCACGTTGTTTGTTGGGTGATCTAAGGGATGAGTGCGTGTATACCAATTCCGTGGGTTTTTCCGCTGGTCGCTGTTTCACCGCTGCTGATTTAGATGTTGTTGCCGCTATTGTGCTATTGCTGTTCATTGTTGTTGTCACTGCTATTGTGCTATTGCTGCTGTTACTGTAGTTTAAAACGGTGTCTCCTCCATGTTTGATGCTAAGGGTGATGGTGTCAGCCTCTGTTCTCGGGCTGGCACTAATAAAGTGAGTGTGTAGTTGGTCCGCACTTTGTGGTCGGATGGTAACATGATGTGTGTTCGATAAGCGTCATGCGTACCACCGTGTCGTTAAAAACGTAGCGCAGTTTTTCACTGTCTGTGATGATAGTTCGCGCGTGTGTGGGTCGCCTGCTATATCTAATGTTGGTAGATGTACATCGGGTAGCGTGTGTCGAGTACTCGTTTTCCAACAAGCTGTAGTGCGTCGCGTTGCGCCTAAGTGAATTGTACCTGCAGCGTAGTCCCAGGAGACTTCCTATTCTGTTAGAAATTCATGTCCCAGGAGTACGTCACAGTACAGATTCTCTAAGATAACAGCCGTAAAAGTGATTGTCAGATCTACGATGTTCGCGGTAAAAGTAGCCGTGCCGGCGGTTGGTGTCGTGTGGCCGTCTGCTAGTCTAACCGCGTGTGTGGGTCCTTTGCGCACAATTCCGTAATTATTGGCTATTGCCGGAGTGGTATATGACTTTTGCGTTTATGAGTAATGCCGTCACAAAACCATTGTAAAATTCAAGTTCCACAGCGGGAGTTGTAATTTTACGTGGGCGTGTTTGTTTGGCAAAACTCTGGTGGTTTACGGTTCGAACGGTTTGTCCGCCGGCGGTGTCAATCGCCATAAGCGGGTAGGCCGTCTCGGCTGGTATCCCATCCCTCACAGTGTCCAACATATCGTTGGCCCGACTCGCGCTATTATCGTATAACGCGGGAACTTTTGTTTTCTCGACCGTATGATTAATTTTTTTAAAGACCTTGAGGACCGCATTATGTCCTTCACTGTGGGTGGAGGGTGCGGTGAGTGAAATTGAAGGGGCTACAGCTTGTCCTGCGTTGTGAGCGAGGGGCTGTAGTCGAGGTTGAGGACCCGGTGAATGGGC